ACCCAAATATTCAGATGTGTCCAGCGCATTTTATGGAGGACTGTTTCCTGATCCTGGAAGAGTAGCCTACAATGCCAGCTGTTCTGAGTCACAGACTGCAAGTAAGGTTTTCATATTTAAAGAATTTGCCACTGATGATTCAAATGTGAGTTTTGCGCAGTGTAGAGTAGCGCTTGTTGTTTGTCATTTCTCCGATCACAAATGCAGACATGGTTTTATGTTTATGCGGTGCGATGCAACGCAACTGTCGTTTACCTTTTTGCATTTTTACTGTCGTAAAAAGACAGCAGAAGTCATTATAATCCATAATTATGTCCCCACTGGATGCAACAAATGCCTCATTTATAATGGGTTTTAATGTTTTTGTCTCGTCGCTCCGGCCGGATAGGGCATCACAGTATGTAAGGGGCGTAACATTTTCGTTGCACGCTTGAGGTATTCGGCCAATCACAACACACTGGATAGCTGGCCAATCATAGCACACCTCGCTTTTCAGACCGATGAGCTTTGTAAAAATCGACGCGTTTCAGAAAGGCAGGGCATAGAGGAGAAACAATAATGTACAGTATGTGGAAAATAATGTGTTTTTTTAACCTTAAACCGCATAAACACATTTCATTACACCAAATACACAAAATAATGTTCTTTTTAGCAACGTCATATGACCCCTTTAAATACCATGGTTAAACTATGGTTAGTGTAGCAAAACCATGGTTCATTTGTGGTTACCATGGTTTAACTATAGTAAGCATGGTTTTTTTATTTTATTTGTAGTAAAACCATGTAAGGGATGTGCACAGAATACATTTATGAGCAGAATTTCTCTCCATATAAAATGAAAAACTATTCAAAGGATCAGTTGAGGTATAAGATCATATCATAATGTACACAAACTCCTAAAACAAAGAGTTGTATTTCTACAGGTGTGGGTAAATTCTGACATATAACCCGGGCTACGAAAATGTAAGTCACACGCACTAAATTAAAGATACAAAGCTGTCACTGGGACAGTAAGCTTTCAAAAGATACTGTACCATTAAGGTATGCACATTTTAGATACGAATATGTACCTTTAAAGGAGACATATTATGCCCCTTTTTACAATATGTAATATAAGTATCTGGTGTCCCCAGAATGTGTCTGTGAAGTTTCAGCTCAAAATACTCCACAGATCTTTTATTATATCATTTTGAAAATGCCTATTTTGAGTGGAAGCAGAAACACGCTTTTTCCTGTCTCTTTAAATGCAAATGAGCTGCTGCTCCCCGCCCCCTTTTCTAGAATAGAGCTGCGCCATTACACCTGTACCTGCTAAAAACATCTGTTTTGGTTCTGATTATCATGTTTATCGCGCTGAAATCATGCGTTTTAAACCATATTGTTTAAACTTCTTATATACGGTTTTCTAAGTGCACACATCCAGAAGCACACGGACAGAAAGCGGCTGTCACAGCATGTGAGTACTAAACTAAGTTCTCATTCACACACAAGTTTACTTTAAAAACACACGAGTTACAAAAACAGTCGGTTATGTCTGTGAAGGTAAACGGCTGGGAAATAAATGGCATGTTTATTTTAGATCTGTGTGGCAGCAGCAATATACATTAAATAAATCCACTGCTCTCTTGTTTCCTCTGAGGCTGGGACTCTAAACAGTGTTCTGTGCTAGTCTGTGCAGCCAAAGACAGAACAGTTAGCATGTTTTGCTCAAACTTTCGCCATGACATTAGAGCTGGTACACCGTTGTCGCTTGCGAAATCAAATGTAAAAATTTACAGATTAAGGGGTGGTAATATTATAATGAGATCCCTTTGCCACGTCACAAAGGGAGCGAAATCAGACTTGTTCGTTTTCTCAGACGCTTGCAGAAAAAGGCTTACCAAAACAAAGTTACTGGGTTAATATTTTTCACGTTTGCTTGGTTGGTAGATGCACAGGGGACCTGATTATAGCACTTAAAACCTGGAAAAGTCCGATTTTCATGATATGTCACCTTAAGGTACTAATATGCAGGTTTTTGGGGGGTAAATAAGGTACAAAGGTGTAGGCTACCTTTTGAAGTATCAAGTGACAGCTTTTGTAACTTTTTTTCTGAGGCCATATTTCTTAGCGTACGCGTAAAAACTGAAGTATAACTTGGGGTTTAGATATTCGGATGTCTCATTTGGTAAACTGTAACCTGAACCTATAGTGCCATCTACTGCAATAACGTTCACATTGCATTCATAACTAAGTCGAATACTATCTCATCATGTCTTTGCTATAACTCAATATGCACAAGTAGAATTCCTTTTAAATTGTTTGGTTTGTTTAATTTCATGCCATCTATCAATTTGAACATCCTGTTGTGCTTTCTGATTGCTTGCATGAATAATTCCTGTAATGCTACCTGTGTAGCACCGTTTTCCGCCACTAGAGTTCACTAAATTACATAGGCTAAGTAGAGCACTATTTCATACAGCACTTGTATGGCCTAAATCAAATACATTGTGGCCACATGATACTGAGAAGCTGTAGTTTCAAATAACTCAGTGTTGCTTTGTGATACAATTCCTGAATATAATTTTGTCATGTTGGATAAATATGCAACCAAAATGTTTTGATTTGGAATAAGTCCCAGCTGTAGTTATTTAGCCTACCAAAGTCAAGAAGCATGCATGTGACATTTTGCAAACGCAAGTGATTAAAAAACATGATTCAAAGTTCATTGACACTACTTTTTACACAACTGGCAAAAGATCACTTTTTTCCTTTAACCTCAGCCGCTTTTGGAGTTTTCTAACATCTCTCATATTTTTTACAACTCTTGTATTATATTATTATAATAGTTAATTTAACAAATGCATCTTTATTGTGACTGAAGCAGCCCTTATCAAATTTTACTATAGTTATGCAGTGAGAAAATTACATCCAAGGAAAAAATATTTTACAACAATATTCTATAGCATGTTCTTTAATGTGAGTCCAAAATAGTATTAAATTACTTGTATTTACACTCTATTAACCCTTCCTTTTACGGACACCTTGTAGACATTATTTGGTCCATTAACGAACCTAACAGACTCTTGTAATCCAGCCCTCGGGTGCCTCCCTCTGTTTCCCCACGCTGCTGCTCCTCTGTCTGTATACACACGCTCCCCCATCGCGGCGCGGCTTAAATCATCTGACGCGTTTTGCGCATTTCCTGAACTGGCGCTCGAGAGCAGGGAGGGAGAGAGTGTGTGTGTGTGTGTGAGAGAGGGAGGGAGAGAGAGAGAACAATATTCTATAGCATGTTCTTTAATGTGAGTCCAAAATAGTATTAAATTACTTGTATTTACACTCTATTAACCCTTCCTTTTACGGACACCTTGTAGACATTATTTGGTCCATTAACGAACCTAACAGACTCTTGTAATCCAGCCCTCGGGTGCCTCCCTCTGTTTCCCCACGCTGCTGCTCCTCTGTCTGTATACACACGCTCCCCCATCGCGGCGCGACTTAAATCATCTGACGCGTTTTGCGCATTTCCTGAACTGGCGCTCGAGAGCAGGGAGGGAGAGAGTGTGTGTGTGTGTGTGAGAGAGAGAGGGAGGGAGAGAGAGAGAGAGAGAGAGAGAGAGAGAGCGAACAGGGAGGAAGGCTGCAGCGCAAAGGACTAACATAAGCGTGTAGCTCAAATGCTTTCACCTTCTCAAATCAACAAAGAAAAGAAGCAGCTGAATATCTCGTCGAGCGGATGGCAGTAGTCTCCCAGCGGTTTGTCATCGGACTGGGAAAAGGAGGAATTCAAAAACGCCTCTCCCATTTAACGCCTATTGGAAAACGAATAGTACAAGACAAGCCCCGCTGAAGACCATCACATTTGGGATATTTTCCTCAGTGTTATTGCCGATATTTTGCCTCTTGGACTCGTCCCTCAACTCAGCGCTATTCCAGACGTAGGGAATTCGATTGTTTACGTATGCTTTCCATTATGAGGAAAGACGGATCGTAAACAAAAACAGGAGCTCCTGCTTTTGCATATCGCTTTTTTACATCCTATTTGATTGTTCCGCTCAAATGAGAGAATCAGGTTGATCCGACTAGTGGTTTAGGGGATTAAATCATCACAGCATCCATCTATAGGTGCATGTACACTGATGACGTGATGACATCTACGGGTATAGCGAGCCCCTGAATCAAAACCTGCACTTGAAACGTCTGTTCTTGTAAAGAAGCCAGTTGCATCTCACTTGAGCCTCATCATGGTGGTTTTTAATGGAGTGTTGAAGATCAAGGTTTGCGAAGCTCTGCATCTGAAGCCCACCCCATGGTCGCTCCGGCATGCTGTGGGACCGAAGACCCAGACCTTCCTCCTGGACACGTATATTGCCCTCAACGTGGATGATTCCCGCGTGGGCCAAACTTGTACCAAGCAGAAGACAAATAGTCCAGCTTGGAACGATGAGTTCGTAACAGAGGTTTATGATGGGAAGAAAATCGAACTGTCTGTCTTTCATGACGCGCCGATTGGCTATGATGACTTTGTGGCCAACTGCACTATACAATTTGAAGACCTGCTGCAGAATGGCAGCAGGCACTTTGAAGATTGGGTATGTTTATTTCACAATTTATTGGCATAGTGTAATCACTTCAGTCTGGCCCCTGGAGGCCCCTCAACACTGCTCATTTTGGTTGTCTTACTATTCTCTCACACCCAAGGTTATGGAGCACTTCTACTGAGACAGAATTGAGAGACACTGGTGCAATCTAGTGCAGTGGTTCTCAGTCCTAGTCCTGAAGTAGCCCAGCACTATAACATTATGGATGTCTACCTTTATTTATCACACTTGATTTATGTAATTAGCTCATATACGTAGCTGCTCCAAGAACTAAAGTTGGTGTGGAGACATCTAAAATGTAGTCTTGCAAAATTGAAAACCACTGATCTGTTGTCTAGGCCATAATTTTCTCCCCAGCAAAGCCTCTTGTTTCCCAGCCTTCCTCATGGGTTCTCACGCTCTGGGGGTTTTCCCATTTCTGACAGAACATGTTCTGCTGCTGTTCAATCCAGACCTACATTCACCATTTCCGTCAAGTGAAGCTGTTTTGCAAATTGCCTTCATGAGATATAGTGCTCTCATACCAGAAAAGGAAATAATTAGTGCTTAATTATGCACGCTGTAAAATGAGTTTGACACATAGTTTGTTACAACCTGTCATACATCTAGTTATACATAAAATAATTATGGTGTATGACAGCACAATCATATTAACTGAGTGTTTCACCTTGCCATTCACCTTATTTTGGATTTTGTCCACTCAGTAGAATTAAGCCCTTTTACTGCAAAAAGGACAAGTGATACTCAATTCACTGGCTTCCATTAAAGTTTTAATATGTTGGCTTGACCCTTTTGTTCTCTTTTGAGAATGTTGCTTATTGTATCTTTTTAAATGAAAAGAAATTATAGATTGTAATTTTGTTGTCAATTATAGGCTGCTGTGTGTTTTTATAGGGTGCATAACACACAAACACTTGTAATTATTTGTTACAATAGTATCAAAATGGAATGTTTTGATGCTGCTGTGTTATAATGTGTTTCTATGTCATGGAAAAATAGTCAGAGATTCACTTAGCATTCTAATCATGCCTGGAATTATGAGTTGGTCTGTTATATAATCTTCATACAGCTCAGGGGCTGCAGTTGGGAGTGTTTTGTACGTTTGGTCGTTAGACACCCAGGGAAAGGTCAGCATATATTGATTATGTCGCTGCATTGGTCAATCTTCCCCTCCTGTCACTGGCAACTCGCGCTGTAAATGTGTCAGGCGAGAGAGTGAGAAGGAAATCAATTTAATTTCTGCATTCCCTCATAATGGCTTTGACGACCTGCCTAATCGTAACACATTCTGAGCCCTCTGTCTCACCGCCAGCTCTTTATTCCACCTGTGTGCTAAAGGGAAACATTTGCCAAGTTAAATCATCCCAGTTGTATGCTAAACTAATTTTACTGCTTTAGTTTCCACATGCTTTAACTTTATCATTCAAATGTACAAGTGTTTGTATGGCTCAACAAAAAGGGCAGTTTCTGTTATATGTTAATCTCGGCCAATATACAGTGGGTACAGAAAGTAATCAGACCCCCTTAAATTTTTCACTCTTTGTTATATTGCAGCCATTTGCTAAAATCATTTAAGTTAATTTTTTTCCTCATTAATGTACACACAGCACCCCATATTGACAGAAAAACACAGAATTGTTGACATTTTTGCAGATTTATTAAAAAAGAAAAACTGAAATATCACATGGTCCCAAGTATTCAGTCCCTTTGCTGTGACACTCATATATTTAACTCAGGGGCTCTTAAACCCAATTGAGCATCTCTGGAGAGACCTAAAAATGGCTGACCACCAACGTTTACCATCCAACCTGACAGAACTGGAGAGGATCTGCAAGGAGGAATGGCAGAGGATCCCCAAATCCAGGTGTGAAAAACTTGTTGCATCTTTCCCAAAAAGACTCATGGCTGTATTAGATCAAAAAGGTGCTTCTACTAAATACTGAGCAAAGGGTCTGAATACTCAGGACCATGTGATATTTCAGTTTTTCTTTTTTAATAAATCTGCAAAAATGTCAACAATTCTGTGCTTTTCTGTCAATATGGGGTGCTGTGTGTACATTAATGAGGGAAAAAAATGAACTTAAATGATTTTAGCAAATGGCTGCAATATAACAAAGAGTGAAAAATTTAAGGGGGTCTGAATACTTTCCGTACCCACTGTATCTGACTTAATTGGAACTGAAGGTTTTGTCAGACTTCATAGCCACAGACACGCTTGATAACAGCTATTCGGACATGGAAGCTCTGGTATGTGTAATTTCCCAGAGAGGCGCAGAAGTACAATCTTCATCTGCCATGTCTTGTTTACACAAATTAATAAAATAAAGAGTTTGCTTTCCAGAGTTGATGACTGTAGACAAAGGGTGAAGCCCTTATGTAATGGAGGGTTGTGTGCAATTCAAAGTTGAATTGAGAATGTTTAAAACGTCAGATCAGTTCCTGAATTTGAACTGAATTTAAATTGAGGTAGAAAATAGGATCCAGAATTTGAATTGGAGTATAAAGTAAAAAGCAAAGAAGTTCATTTAAGTGTAATTTTTAATTAGAAAATAACTTTTCTCAAACCAACTCTTGCTTTGGTAAAGTTTTTGAAATTTGAAAAGATTTGAAGTCCTTGAACAGACAGACAGAATGACATATAAATAGATAATACAGTTATTTAGAAAGTATATTTCATCATACCAGGTTCTTTGAATTGTTATTCAGTAAATTCCTCTTCCTGTCATTCCAGTTCGACTTTTTGTAGGATAAGGTCAATTCAGTTCTAATTCCAATTTACGAATTTAAAGTAATTAATGCCATTAAAATGTCATTAATTCTGAATTTTGCACTAACCAGCTTGTAATGTAATATTTCATTTGTTGGAGTATTATTGTTTCTATTAGAATACATGGTGTAATTGACCCTTCACAGGGAGCTTAATTGACAGACAATCTGACCAAACATATCAAACAAATCGGACAGGAGAGTAGATTAACTTCGGGGGACTTAATGGTGTTTATTGACGTCTTTATGCGGTTGGACTTTGGTGTTTATTTCTCTTATTTCTCTTTGCTCCACAATATATTTTTCACTGTGTGAGAACATTTGTGGTGTGAGAGCGGCATGGCTTGTCGGACATAGCAGCAGTAACTACGGGGGTGGGTCTTTGCGAAGGTTCAATTAGAACAGACAACCAGTATAATGAGCCTTAGTATGTAAAACTTTTAGTAAAAGGTTTTTAGTGTCATCTCAAATGAATGCACAGAGGTACAGTGTGTCCGAGACTGAAAAAGAAACTAAATGGGACTCATTTTTAGGAAGACAGTTGTTTCTTGGCATGTCATTTGAGCAGCAGAAGCTGGAGCCAGACGTCTCCAGAGAAACCCACACTCTTCACTCAGTGGATACACATCCAATAAGCTTCATCCGTACATTCACTCCCACTGTTACCCACACAGGTGGAGCTTTATTCTGCTTGGAACAAGGAGAGCATGCCTACTAATTTAGATAGCCTCCTCTACTTGAACAAGCAGAACCATAGAGAAACGGTATCAGCAGCAACAGTGTTACAAAACTGTTTAGTGGAAAAAGTAACCAACCAGGACCTCAGACCCTAAAGAAGACGCTATTGTGTCATGTTTGTTGCTTTACTACTTCTCTGTTGGGTTTCTGGCCTGTAATCGTTCTCCAACCGCATGTTGTGGTCGCCTGGTACGATGCAACAAAGTTTTCTGAACTTGCACCACTTTTGGGTACAGGCATCTTCTCCTTATCCTTAGCCGATGGTTAGTTGGGTTTGAGCGTCTTGTTAGTTGTCGGTGTAGCATTTAGCAGAAGTGGTAATTGGAGCCTGGTCTTTTGGATGGTTGTCAGACACTATTGAGACACAGCCACCCGTCTTTTGTTGTGTGAGGCAGGAACGGACTGAATAATTTACAAGCCTTCCATCAGCTTCTTTATGGAATGTCTGACCCCGCACAGATCATCCACGACACCCTTAGCTCAAGTTAGCAACAATCCCATTATCACCAGCGAAAGTGGTCCTTATCTATAGGGACATCTCTGCCTTCGATTACCAGCCTTTTACTGAGGAGCCATCTGTAAACAGTCGGAGACAGAGGGGGCCGCCTGTGGCAAGCAGAACTTCTGCTGATCTTGCAGATCAAGCCGTTCATTCACTCTTGTCTTTTTCAGGTTCATTTTTTCTCCTTCCTCGTATTGTCCTCCTCCTGCTGTTCCTCTGCTTCCTTCACCATCTCTCTACTGGGTTTCCTTCCCTTCCATTTTGTTGTCCAAACTATCCTTGTTAAATTCACAGATATTTATGGTCCTGACATTACATCCAGTCCATTACAAACCAGCTCCAAATGCTTAAAACACATTTCACTAGGAGTGTTGCTTTAGCCGCAGATAATGAGCTTTAAAGGCGTGCAGTTTCCTTAATGTCTTTCCACTGCATTACAGCTTACATTACAGTTATCGATTGCACTCAGTATTTTACAGGTTTATGCCCAGCAGCTCTCTTTTCCATTGTCTCCTGTTAAATGTTGGTGTTAGCTATACAGTACTTCCTGGTTACTGGACATTGACATCATCTGCCCTCACTTCTCCCCAGCCATTTGCGCAAATAGGCCAGGCCGAGGCTAAAACACCAACTCATCCCCCTCTTTGGCATACCATTGTCACAGGAACCCATATCACACTCTTGCCAAGCCAAAGCTCATCAGAGCTGGGTGTTGATTGAGTTCCTTCACCCATCAAGGATTTCTTAGGAATCTCGAATCTATGCTTTTAGACAGAGGTGGCGACATGTTGACTCGTACAGACAGAAACCTTCTCATTATGCCTTTGGCCCGGTGATTGTCACACATCAATTCACAGTGTTTTTCATCAGTTCTCAAATCTCGGGATTTGAGGGCGAAGGGTGAATAGTGGGTAAGCAGGATCAGTTCATCCAGCAGCACTAATTAATTTCATGAAATGATTTGATGAGAGAGCGTTGAAATGTC